GTTTTATAAAAGAATTACAGGTGTTGTCTTTTTATGGGTGCAGGTCGGGCCAAGGGCAACCAATGACAGGGAGAGGTTCCCGCCAAACAACATCCTGCTTATGCTGGCAGGGGCGGGCCTACTATGGATGGGGTGGACTGGATTCAACGGTGGAGATCCTTACATGGTGAGCACAGACGCATCTCTGGCCGTCCTCAACACCCACGTGTGCACTGCCACTAGCTTGCTGACGTGGCTCGTGCTTGACATTGTTTTCTTTGGGAAGCCCTCTGTGATTGGTGCCACTCAGGGCATGATCACAGGCTTAGTTTGCATAACCCCGGCTGCAGGTATACATATATTAGTCACTTCACATTTTATATACCCTTTTGCTATAATTTGAAAGTATAATTAAATATCATGTTAAACATAAAGGTGCATATAGAGCCGGTCTTAAAATTCTGGGGTCCCCAAACGAATGACATTTATATAAACTTTTTCAATAATTACTCACAAAAATCTATTGTTATAGGTGTGGTGCAAGGTTGGGCAGCAATGATCATGGGAGTAATGTCCGGAAGCATCCCATGGTACACCATGATGGTCCTCCACAAGAAAATCAGTATCCTAAAGCATGTGGATGACACAATGGCTGTGTTCCACACCCACGCCGTGGCCGGAAGCCTAGGGGGCATTCCGAAGCTATGTCGAATCTTCTATTTGGTAGGCGATTGGCAACACTATATTGGCCTAGCCTATGGATTGCAGAGTGGCCAGGTTAAGGCAGGGTTTAAGCAAATGGGAATTCAAATCCTTGGGATATTGTTTGTCATTGTTGTGAATGTGATCACCACTAGCATAATTTGCTTGCTCTTGGGGCGCTTTATCCCGCTGAGGCTCAACGAAGATGAGTTGCAGATCGGAGATGATGCAATTCATGGAGAGGAGGCTTATGCATTGTGGGGAGATGGAGAGAAGTATGATGGTTCAAAGCATAATTCAGTTTATGGCTTGGAAGAGTTTCCTCTAGCGCCGCCTAAAGCTGAGGCCTGAAGTTGAAAATGCCTTTCTTCTTAATTTTGTTTTTATTTTTATCTTTATTTTGGTTGTGTTGTGTGTTTTCTCTGAAGAAAAATATAATGTATTCTGTACTCAGCATCTGATGTAATAAGAAGTTAACCATATGGACAACAAACAGGTTGGTCATTCGATTGAAATGAACCTCTCTTGCCTTGTTTGTGTGAAAACCCTCTGCATTTATTTAAAACATGGATCCCTAAAAGAATCATGTGTGTTTGCGCTAAAACTAGACATGTAGTAAATAGACCAACTTAAAGATGAGGTGAATGTTGAAGGTGAGGACCCTCGGTATGTGAAAGGATTCGGTAAGTAGGTAAACATGCATACAGAAGACAAATGTACGTGGTTCACCCGAATAATGGGCTACGTCCACGGAGAAGTATGTTCTCATTACGATAATGTGAGTATACATTGCACATAGGTTTAGACTCAAGGAGAAGAGGAAGAATACCGAAGGCCGAAGGCCGATGCCGAAGACAGATGCCGAAGGCTGGAGGCCAAAGACCGAGGATCTGGTGTGATCCGTGGGTTTTTAAGTGGGCTCATGGGTAAGCCCATGAGGCCCCAGTAGCCTGCCCAAACTCCCCCATCCTATCTCTTGAAGGGGAGAGGTCTCCTTTTATAAAGAAGGGAGAGTCCCCTCCTCTTGTGTTTTGTCGATGTGGGACTCCCTTCCCTTTGGCTTGGGAGTGTTTGGGGAGTGCTTGGCCAGATATTGTACAAACAATGTGCAACTTCACCCAAGACAGTAGAGCACAACTAATGTTTCGTGAAAGGCAAGTTTCGTCATAGATTTAAGAATTGGTTTTAGTGACAATATTGCACCGATATTAATACTAGTACTTTAAAAATGGAAAATCTTAGTCGTATCGTGCACTCAAATTATAACACGTTGAAAGATTATATCATGTGACCGTATTTCAATACTATACAATAATTTGTCGGACGATTTTGTTGATCAAAAGTCTTCACAATTGGCATTTAGCAAGTACAATCTTGGTCGTCAAAAACCCATTTTGCATCCCAAGCTCATTGGCCATGGCAAAGTTCCAAATCTAAACACTTGATGTTTATTTATTTTAATTTTTTGTAAGGATCTTTTATATTGAGAGAAGCGATAATATACTAAATTCACACATACTATATAGATGACAAGACTCGTACCCAGAACCTTTCATGATAAAAACAATTTCTCCAAACTACTACACTAATGAGTCCTTTGCCATGTGTTACGTATTTAAGTAGAAAGAAACATAGAAGATGTCTATGGGAAACAGAAAGAGACAGACACCAAAAGGCAGACACTTTTCCAATTGGGAGATAGCTAGCTGCTGTCTCTGTTCCACTAGAAAACACATCATCAATGAATATTAATAAACAGAAACACTCTTTCCACAAGGCTTCAAATTATTCTATTAAGGTATGAAATGAAATGAAAACAATGAAGATTGGTGAAAACTTAAAAGAAATATACAGAAAATGTTTCGTTGTCAAAGAAAAAATCCAAAGGACAAACCGGGAAGTGAGAGAGCAAAATTAAGTTAAAAGTCTCGATATTTATTTAAGTTTTTATCTTTTTGGTTGGTGAAAGCTTGTTACTTGGAATATAGGGACGAGAGAGAGAAAAGTCGAACTTGTACGAAAATTCTTTCTCGCCCAACTCTCTGAAACACCACCCACCAGATCTGTGTGCTGATTCCGAACATGGGTTTGTAATGTGTGTGAGTCGGCAGTGAAGAATGGCGTCCGCTACGGCGTCGTCTGTGGACGAACAGGCACATCTAGTTGCTTCAGTTGGTTCACTTGCAGGTGGAGGAGGAGGCTCCACTGATAACAGAGGAAGGCATCGGATTCTCGCTGAACTCAACCGTCTTGAACAAGAACTCAAATTCTTGCAGGTTTCTTATTTTCCTTTCTCTCTCTCTCTTTCTCTTTTCTTGGGTTCTTATTGCCACTTACTTGTTTCCTCTGAATGTTGTTTGTTTCCCGGGGAAATTCTTCCTTGGAAAACATTTCCCACTTCTTTCTTTTCTTTATTTGAGGTTCCAATTCTAAGGGTAAGTAAAAAAGTTCTCTGCTTGGCTGTTAAAAGTAATGAAAGGAACTTTCTTTCTGAAAAAGAAAAGTCATATGGTTTATATTTGCCTAGACATTGCTTCTTTAAGCTTTCTATAAATCAGAGTTTTACGGGAAAATTTCTTGGGTTGGAAAATGGGTTTGACTACATATTGAAATTGAGGCTTAGAGTGGTCAACCTTGAGGGCTTGTGATGCAATTTGCTCTGACTTTATAAGGTATCAATTAACGAAATTTGATGATAGGGAGGTAATTAATCATCTATATAATCGGTGAGGTTAGCAGATAAGCTGCAGACTTAGTGAACAGCACATTGGCAAGAGCAGAGGGCTGAAGAACTGTAAACTCATTGTTCTACGTGGAAACTATATGTGACTAGAAAACTAAAGAATGTACCTTCAATTCTTCAATAGTAAATAGAAAGTTGCCCTCTTTCACATTGGATTTATTAACAGCTGTTTTAGGGGCAAAATCATACTGCTTGAATTTACTATATATAACTTGTTGCAAATCAACGGTGCGAATGGCCTATTTGATCGACAAGTTCTTTGTTAATCTGAACAGATAATCATTTGGCCTTTTATGTGGCTGTGTTCAACCACCTTTGCGTGCATTTTGTGTTATCATGTCGTATCGTAGTCGAGCTATAAAACGAACGACTTCACAGCTCAGGTCTTAGAAGGTGTTATCCAGACCTCTCGTATTTAGGTTTCCAACTGTAGGACTAGGAACTTTAAATTTCCAGCTTTGCTTGGTTTCTTTATCTTCTGGGGATGTTTATATTTCATACTCCTTGCAGAACGCTAGGTCTCGTTCTAATAATTTGGGGATTTCTTCAGAAATTTCTATGTATGTAGCTACATTCTGTGGTCTTCATAAATAACTAGCAAACAGCCTTCTTGTGCATAACTACACCCTTTTAGATAGAATAAGCACTTGCAAGTTGCATGCTATTAATCAGTTAAATGTATCGTTTCATTCATGGCATTACCCTTTTAGGCGAATGGTAATTTGATCAATGATGACGGGGGATTCAAAGACCTCTTCCAACCTTGGGAAGAGAAATACCACTAGATTAAGAGCTAATTGGTCCAATTGTCAAAATGGTCATGGCAGGTAACAGGAAGAGGGCCAACGTTCTATGGGGTTGTCTTGTTCATGCGGTATTCTAGAACATTTGGTTAGAATGTAACCGGAGAATTTTTAAGGAAACCGTGGGGGCGGACTCAGACGAACTTTGGGATAGAGTGAAGTTTGGGGCCTCTCTTTGGGCGTCCGTTTCTGCTGAGTTTAAGGACTATCATTATTCTACCATTCTGCGAGACTTTAGCGCTGTCCTAGTTTGATTATGTCCTTCTCTTAGGATTGTTCGCTAAATCTCTTGCTGGGGTTTATTTTCTTACAGTCCTGTCTTCTTTCTCTTTGTTTCTTGTGTGGTCCTGTCTTTTGTTCTGTTCTGTTTGAGGAGGATTTCTTATCCCCTCTTTATCAATACAGCGTTTCTATTTTAAAAAATAAAATAAAATAGGTCCAATTGTAACTTTTTTTGTACATTCACATTTATGCCAAGAGACATTATATTATCTCTATCGTTGTCATATAAAAAGTGCTGCAGACAAGTCACTGTTGTGTTTGTACACACTCAGTTTACATTCTTATGTTACTTTCTTGCTTTGCATATCAGGAAGAGTTGGGAGAGCTCGAAAGGACTGAGAAAGTTTCGACCATATGTTCAGAGTAAGTATGAGCAACGATTCTTTAATTATGAGCAAAGACCTAAAGGATAATCATAATTCTCAGAAGTTTTAGTATATCCTGTCCTTAACATGGTAAATCTGATAAACTCAATGATAAGTGATGATCTCTTTTTCGTTCATGCTGCTTAGATTGCTGCCCTACGCCGAAGGCATTGCGGATCCTCTACTTCCAGTGTAAGTTGTATAACCAATCTCCTCACGTTGAAACAACCAAAATTGCTTATATTTATAATGCTCTATCCTCTGATTTATTCTGATTGCAGAACAAATGGACCTGTAAATCTATTATGGGATCGATGGTTCGAAGGACCCCAGGATTCACCACGTTGCAGTTGTCGGATACTCTGATTTGACGCAATCTAACATTGCTAGCACCATTCTTAATTTTTCGTCTTACGTTCAAAATTTTGTACCAGGTCAGGTACGAATGGTCTTTAGGTTGACGGTATTGAATGTAGAATTTACCAATGACTTAGTATGAAGTTTGTACATTAAATTCACCATATGTAATTTGTTGCTCATTTCCACTTCATTTTGAACTGGCGCTCATGTACTGACCATAAAGCAAAAAGAGAAAGCAAATGTGGGTTAGGTGAAGATATTGTGCTCCCCTTTGGACCCGGGTTCAATCCCCCTACCCGTACATTGAAGTATTTTAGACTATCGCTTGTCCAAACATAAAAAAAACAAGGGTAAAGAATCTTTGTCTGGGCCTTTAGTGTGGGCTGTGCCTGTGGGTAAGGTATTAGTCAAATTGAAGCCAACTTGAACTTCATCTCAATCAAAGTCGTGAAATTAGTTATAAGATTGTAGACATGGGCTTGGGTGAAAATCCTGCATCTGTAATCATATGGGGTTGCTGGTATTGAGACTTTTTAATCAACCCAAAACTTCAGGGCCGACTTTTGGACAATCTCAAAGACTTGAAACTGTTTGTCCAACACAAAATGTTAGGCTACCCAAGAAAAGATTTTGTAACCCAAAATTCCAGGCTTGTGTGTTCCGGTCAGATTCAGATCAATTAGATGGAGGGGGAAAACTCATACACACGGGTATTATAGGGGTTTGAACCCACGACCAATTAAGAGAAGACCAACGGCCTTGAACCAATCCAACCAACACTACATTGGTAACAAATAA